ATTCTGCTCTTTCCTGCTATGACTTTTGGTGCTCATATACTTTTTGAGATATTACATTTTTATGCAATTTTTTTGTCCCATTGAAACGAATGGACCAAATTATCAGTGTGGTCATTGATTTTGCTTGCCAGGGTGAACTGTGTTTTAGCTCAGTGAGATGAGTAGCCGTTCTCAGAGCGGGAGGCCCGGGTTCGAATCCCGCCTATGGCAACATTTTTTTCAGGTAACAGTTAAACTTATCAACACAAATTTCAGCTTCTTCACCCCTTTTCAGCAGAATTATTAGTTTTTTCATTCCTTTTCGGGAAAAATTCCAGATTCTTCAGCTGTTTTTTAGCAGAAACTTCCGCAGCACAACATTCCGTTTCTTTTCAGTTTCTTCACCTCCTTTCAGGACATAGTTTTACTTCTTCAGCTGTTTTTAGCAGATTCCCCTACACGGCATTCATGCAGCATTTTCGCAGGAAATGCAACTTTTTCTAGGTTAAAATATTTCTGCCAAGTATTATTTTTCCTCTTCGTTATTGCAGTTCTGCTAAGTAATTACATTTTTGCTAAGTTCCTATGCTTTTGCAAAGTTATTACCATTGGTGCAACTTTTCAGCTATTTTCAGCAGACAGCTTCAGCGTTACAGCATCCACACAGCATTTTCGCAGGAAATGCAAATTTTTCTAGTTCTATAAAGTTGTTCTATATAGCGTGTAACTGTTCATATAGAGCGTTATTAAATTTATTGCTAATGCACATTGACTTCTGAGGAAATTTTAGATGGCACTCATCAGAAAGGCTGCTGGCCCCTGGTCTAACAGATCTTCAGGATGAACATGGATCTGGTCAAGCATTCAAAGATTTCCTCTCACCTTTATCCATATTTATGAGAGAAAAAGAAAAAGAAAAGTCAGGGCGTGCTCTCCTGAACTACCTCTCCAACCGTTTGCACCAGCAGAAATGGCAGCTGACGGAGCTGTAATGTTGTGTAACTCTGGGCATGTGCAGTAGAGGTTCAACCTACAGGAAAAACAGCGCTTTGGACACACCAAATTGTTGGATGTGGAGGTTTTACACCCACCAAGCACCAACATGAAGGTTTTGCCTCTTTCTCCAGACGTTAAGGTCAGAGCTCGAGGAGGAGCTACGACCTGCCTGTCACTGTGAGTGGAGACTGTATCACAGCTGTGCCTCCTGCTGGCTCTCTATGGAGTACAACTGTAGTTTACTCTACCTCTGTATGGCTCTGATTGGTTCTTTGATTAGCTTGAAGACACACCCCTTTATTGCAGGATTCTAGCCTAGAACCAATCAGAATGCAGATAATATTCTCATTCACCTGCCTCCTCTTGGTTTTATCCTTCTGTAATTTTTCTGCGTTTTAGAAACTCAACAGTTTTGCATGTTACCAGTCCTTGCTGCTTCAGCGCTGATTCCAGATCTGAAACTCTGCTCTGGTATCGACTGATCTCACTCAGCAGCTGCTCTCTGGTCTGAAACACAAAGAATACAACCGTCAACCTGTTAGTGCCTTGCTTCATTGCAGCTAATGCAGCCCTCTGTGCCCCCACCGGGGTCACCTTGATCTCCTTCTCTGCATCGTAGTTTCCGCCACTCGTCTCCGCTAACAGAGCATACGCTCGCTGCAGCGCTTGGTACTCCTGAGTCAGCTGACGGTAACGAAGCTCCGCCTCCTCATGCACGCATAACTAAAACACACAAAACCCCAACTTCAGACCAGCGAGTCAGAGCAGTAACTGAAACAGTCTCAAGCTCTCATTGTTGCTGTCATCATGAAACGTAATACAGATAGCACAACCAATCATGCACAACTACACACATATCAGCCAATCAGACACTTGCAAGTCGCTGCTGGACATATAAAAAACATGGCTAATATCGTGCCACTTCAGATTTAAAAGCTATTTCAGAAATAAACTCAGCTCTGTTTTTAATTTAATGACTCTATTAGGACTGATGCAGTTAACTGTTTATAGATCAGGGGTGTCCAACTCCAGTCCTCGAGAGTTTTTAGACGCATCCTTGGTCCGACACACCTGAATCAAATTTATGGCTTGTTCCTAGGCCTTTGCAAAACTTGATGGGATGCTGAAGAGGTAATCCAACCATCTGATTCAGCTGTGTTGGAGTAGGGATGCATCTAAAAGCTGCAGAACTGTAGCTCTCGAGGATTGGAGTTGGACACCCCTGTTATAGACACTGGCAGCTTAAGCAGGTTACAACTTAAAGTACCTGAAGGATGTTTTGTTGTTACTATATGAATTATTATTTAAAATCTAGCAAAGGTGGATCTTTGAAGGTTTTGTCTTTCTGTCGGCTCTCCATCAAAGGCTGAGCGCTGTCTGTTCCAAGAGTCAGAAACTACCAGCTGTTTCCTTTTACATCCCACTGGACTTAAGGACACGTTTGGATGTCCTCACCTTTGGAAACAGTGGGTGTGTGTACGTGTGTGTGCGTACCTCATCTGGTTCAGTATCTGGAGTTCTGTCAGTGTGAAAGGACAAAGACGAGCCATCAGAATCCACAGACGCCTCTTCATCATAGCCATAAAACGTCTCAATGACCTGCAGGCAACACACAGAGACACAACGTAGTTCTGAAAACCCACCACAAAGTGCCATAACACCATCAAGACATCCTCCATTTTTCTACATCACGCCCAGTTCAGGATGCTTTACAGATCATCAGAGATCTGATTTCTGGTCCAGAAGAGCTGACCAGAGTTGGTCCAACCAGCTCTCAGTATGTTTACATGAAATCATCGAAATCTGATGACTGGGCTGTAACCTGATTGGTCAAAGCTAATTTAATTTGGAGCTGTGACAGGAGAAGACTCTGAATTAGTAAACGACGTTTAGTTTGTGACCTTTTAATATTTCAATCATTATTCAGAAAACACTGAATGTCTGTCACCATGGTGACTTAATTTAAGGAGCTTGTAAAAACACAAGCGACTGGACTCGTTTAAGTTTCTTGAAGATGTTTCAAGTTTCATCCAAGACGCTTCTTCAGCTGTAAAACCAAATAGTGGCGTGTCCCTTATTTGATCATTACCCTCATCACAGGAGCCAAAGTGTGAAAAAAGGTGTAGTTGCTATTAGCAGAGGTTTAGCTGAACCATCGTGAGTCATGTGACCTACTGAGATCAACTCACCCATGTGAGTGGGCGTTAAGGTCTCTGTGAAGGATCTCAGAACTGGATTATAGATGGCAGACAGTTGGTGTGGTAAGCCCCGCCCTCTGTTCAAAGATAGCCGTTCACAGTGGACACAGATGCTTCTTTTACTCGTCTTTCAAACCTGTCCTCTCTGTCCAACATGTGAACATTTGCATCCTTAAAGCAGTGACCTTTGTCCTTTAGTACAGCCGAGTCTTGTCCCGTGGAGGTGGCTCTTCTATGTTGTGCGTTTATAAAGTGGCTGTTTGGTGTCTCCAGTGTAGAGGTCTGAGCACTCCTCCCTACACTGTACAGCTACACTACATTGTTGAGGTTGTGTGTGGGATGAACCAGTTTGTGTCTGAGTGTGTGGCTGGGTACACTGGGATGTCGTGCTTGGAGAAGACTCTCCTGAGTTTCTCTGATAAACCTGCCACATGAGGGATGACAGTTGTTCTGTTTGTCCTTCTGATCCTCTCTAGTTGGTGTTTGACCGTCTTTGCTGTGCATCTTAGTTGATTTGATGAAAGCCCAGCTGGGATAACCACATGTTTATGAGCTTTCTTTACATGTGTGTTCCTTTGTTTCCCCTTCTGGCTTAGAGGGGATGTTTTTCCAGGGTTGCAGGATCCCGATTTCCCCAAGTTTGTGTTCCAGAGGGTGGTGGAAGTCAAGTGGGGAGTAGGTACTGGTCTGTGTTTGTGGGTTTCCAGCAAATGTAAACGTTGAGGTTTCCATCCTCCTCAATGTGCCATAAATAGCCCCTACACGTCGTTTCTACTGACGACAACATTAAGCAGACATTTAAAAAAAAGTTGTCACCTGGTGTTACAGTGGACCCTCTCAGTGGACCAAAACTGGAGGTCCAAAAATGACTTATAAAAGACGTGCTCCAACTTCACTTTACGTAATGGGATGCACATTCAGTCTGAGCTGCTGGAGCTTTGCAGCAGGGCGTCATTTGCTGCTTTCAGGAACAAGCTGCACACAAAACACTGAAAGCGTTCTGCACATGAAAGAAATGCTGAGGGTCACCTGCTTCTGATCAGGTAAGCTGGTCAGCCTCGGTTTTCATGGAGATTCAATAGGTAAACAGCTCGCTAAAGAATTAACCTGGCTTCGTCACACACAAACAAAGAAATATCGGGGTACAGGCCTGGCCTCACCCTGCAGGCTCTGAAGGTCCGTTTCCTCCTCCCCGATTCCTGACGCCGGTACCTCAGTAACATGTCTCTCTCCTACAGACAGACAGACAGCAGCATGTTTCACTATTAACAGAAAGATCTTACTCTCAGGGTTATCACTGATTCTATGCATGTTAGATACAAAGCTCACAATCCATCACACAGGACACACCAACAACTGTATTACGATTCAATACTTACAATCACATTCTTCACATAACCAGCTGTCTCCAGAGCCTGTAAACACAAACTCAGTCTTATTACAGTGAAGTACTGAACTGTAGTACAAGTATAAATGTGTGAGTGTGTGTAGTACTAGTAGGAGCAGCAACAGTATTACTTGTCGTCTGTATGGACACAGTTGCTCACTTAATGGGTTTTTTCACATTGTGGTTTCTCACTGAAGGCATCAAAACTATGAATGAACACATATGGGCTTATGTGTGTCCATCCATCCATCCATCCATCCATCCATCCATCCATCCCCCTCTTCCACTTATTCAATTCAGGGTCGTGGGGGGAGGGGGGGCTGGAGTCTATCGCAGCTGTCTTAGGGCAGGAGACAGGGTAGACCCTGGATTGTTTCAAGATTAGGCTTCAAACTTTCCTTTTTGCTAAAGCATATAGTTAGGGCTGGACCAGGTGACCCTGAATCCTCCCTTAGGCTGCTGGGAGACTCCCATGATGCATTGAGTGTTTCTTCTTCACTCACTGTTTTTATACAACTCTCTGCATTTAATTACTAGTTATTATTAATCTTTGGCTTCTTCCTGAGCCTGGTTCTGCTGGAGGTTTCTTCCTATCAAAAGTGAGTGTTTTCTGCCCACTCTCGCCAAAGTGCTGCTCATAGGCAGTCATATGATTGTTGAGATTTACTCTGGTTTATTTGTATTATTGTAGGGTATTTCTTTTACAACATAAAGCGCCTTGAGGCAACTCCTGATGTGATTTGGCGCTATACAAACTGAACTGAATTGAACTGAATCAGTGGTATGGGTACCTTGGACAGGTCATCAATGATGTGTTGCTGCTCCAGGACTTGTAACCGCAGAAACTCCATCTCTCTCTCGTCCTGACTGTAACCATGGTAACTGGTGGAGTGGCTGCGGTCCAGATCATTTAATGAACTTGGCCTCCTCTGTGGACCACAAAAGCATGGCTGTTACCATAGCAATGGTACGCTAAAGTATTCGATTGCTGTTTGATGGTTTTTCATGCTCACTGTCACCAAGTGCTCGGCCATGATGGGTTGTCTTTTCCTTCATATAGAAATATAACTAAACTGAATAGATGTGGAAGAAATGCTCAGCAGCTGATGCAGCACTGTTTCACTGTGTTTGAATAAAGTATACTATAACTAGGGCTGTTCGATGTAACGATATAAAAACGTCTATGGTTTCATATTACGCTATCGTTTGTTTTGTGGTAAAATAAACAGTTTACAGCAATATTTTTTCATGGTTTTGATGGTCACGGTAGAATTTCCCAAAGCTCTATTTTTCTCTTATATTTAATATAACCACACTACAGTGGACAAGTGACTGTTTTTATGCGTTGTCATTAGCAACAACGATGGTAAAACCATCGTGTGGCTTGTTTATTTTCCACATAAACCGTTCACAATAAAGCTGAAGATCCTGTTGAGATTTTTCAAAATAAACTGCAAAGTATTTCGGACAAGAGTGTTTGCGGACGAGAAGCTAAGAAAGAGCCCATAAAGAAAATTGCATCCGTTTCAACTTATGTAACACTCGACTCCAGGTAAACGACGCCCAGCTGAAAACACTTCACGCAAGTTGAGTGGACCGAGATTCTCAGAATTTACAGAAAATGTTAAATTTTTGTCTTACATAGGGATATGAGATTTTGGTCATATCGCACAGCCCTAACTATAACAGTTTCTGCTTTAGTGTAATTTCCATTACAGTAAGTAAGTAAAAGTAAGTAAAATGTATTTTCACAGATAAAAATCACAAAGTGCTAAATAAAATAATATAAAACAATGAGAAAACGAATTAAAAGCTTGTATAGAAATGCCTTCAGCTGCTTTTCAAAAGAGTCAATGGAGTCTAAACACCGTAAAGCCAACAGAAGAGAGTTCCACAGCCTCGGTGCCTGTTTTGAACCCAGTACATGGGGCCAACAGTAACTTCTGACCTGAAGACCTAAGTGCTCGGGATGGAGCATGAGGCTTCAACAGGTCAGATGGACTGGGGAGCTTCACCATGCAGAGCTCTAAAAGTTACGACTAAAATTTTAAAATGAACCCTAAAATTTACTGGCAACCTGTGAAGAGAAGCCAGAACTGGAGTAATGTGTGACCTCTTGTCAGTGCCAGTTAAAAGTCTCGCCGCAGCATTCTGTACAGTTTGAAGGCGATCCAGAGCAGATTTGTTGGAAGCACAAAGACCGTTACAATAATCCAAACGAGAAGAAATAAAAGCATGAATCATCTCAGGTTCTGTCTTTGACACCAGTAGTCTGAGTTGACAAATGTTTCTTCGATGATAAAAACAGTTCTGGACTAGTTGTTTGGAAAGATTCACACTGTACTGTCAAATATGATGCCCAAGTTTCTGAGACTCGATTGAACAGAAGGGCGTAAAAAACTGATATGCTGCTTAATTTCTGAGATTATATGGTCAGGACCAAAAATCAAAGTTGTGATTAAATTGTCATTTGATCATTGTTTGATTTCTGACAGACAATTATTTAAACAAGGCAATTCATAAAACTCAGAAGCTTAACAGTATAACTGAATGTCATCAGCACGGAGATGATAATGTGGCCTAGAGGGAGGATATACAGCAAAAAGAGAATCGGACCTAAAACAGATCCTTGAGGTGCCCCAGAAGGCAGAGCTGATGTTTCAGACAACACATGATTCATACAGACAGTAAAGATCTCTCAGATAGATACGACATAAACCATTTTAAAACAACACCAGTAATCCCAAACAAGTCCTATTTATCATGATGCTGTGATCAACAGCATCAAAAGCTGAGGAGAGAACCAGTATAACCAGTACGAGCACTCCCCAGAGTCTGCTGCCATCAACATGTCACCACACACTGTAAGTAAAGTGGTTTGACTTGAGTGCAATTTGTGGAAACCAGACTTGGAAAATGTCCAGAACATTGTTCTTCTCCAAAAAGTTCTTCAGTTGTTCTGCAACTGTTTTTTCCAAGATCTTTGACACAGATGATCATTTTGATATTTTCAGTGTGATACTGAGAGGATGATGGAGAGATAATAGACCTGATGGCAGCGACTTTATTTACAAAATAGTTCAAAAATTCATTACAATCAGATTTAGTAGAAACTGGTACATGAGGAATATCAAACAACACTTTGGGATGGTTCTTTTTTGAAATTCAGTTCTAGCATTTTTTAATCATGTCATTAAGTGAGGAAATTGATTCCTTGAGATGTATCCCATGAACCTCGAGCTTGGAAGCCTTCCATAAACGTTCTAACTTGCGACAATATTTCCTAAAATTCAGAATATTTTCATTTATCCAGGGACAGAAATTTGAAGAATGGACGACACTTTGTTTCAGAGGCGTCCCTGTATATGAGATAGATTTACATTAATTGTTAAAATGTACGTATATATCTGTGTATATGTTTGTGTATATATCTGTGTATATGTTTGTGTATATATCTGTGTATATGTTTGTGTATATATCTGTGTATATGTTTGTGTATATATCTGTGTATATAGGTAGGTATGTATGTGTGTATGCGTATGTACTCCTTTGTATGTATAACTTGTACATATCTTTTTTGTGTAAATGCCTGTGTTACTGTGTAGCCTGTGTTACGCTATTGTGTGTTACACACACTCCCTCAGTAGGTACCCTTAAACTTATGTCTGTCTTATCTTCCTCTCCTATCCAAAAACTGAATGTAAATCTACATCCTGCCAACGGAGAGATGCCAAACTGTGTTTCATTGTTCTTGTAACAGTGACAATACAGATCTATTCTATTCTACAAGACACCAAGAGTCCTGCCAGGGTCAAGCGTGGCCGAGAGCCTTCCAGCAGCGTCCTGGTTAACAATCGGGATCATTCAATCTTTTGGATCATTGGTGTAAGAGGTGAAAGATCCAAATAAAATGACAAATTAAACTTCAGTCTTGTAATTGGGTTGTCAATGAAGTACCTAAACCCTGAAGTGTGAGTGAATCCTGACACCTGCTGGTAAAAAGCAGTAACTGTGTGTGGAAGCTGGACATCACATCAATTCCAACACCATCACCAGTTTGACTGATACAGAATAGGGTGTGTTAGAGTCAGAGGTTACCATAGTTACCATCTCCAGATTCTCCTGGGTGACGAAGCGAAGCTTGTTATCGAGTCGACGCAGCGCTAGAGCCAGCTCTTCGTTTTTACGGCTCAGACGCTTGTTCTTGTCCAGAAGAGGAAGAAACTGACTCTCGGCCTCTCTCAGGCGCTTCAACTGCAGAACACACGAAAAATAAAAACATACAGGCAGGAAGAGGACAAGGATTTTATCAAGTAATTCATTAGCCCCAGGTAAGATAACATTAGGGTGACAGTGCCCTACAGTGTTTGTAGTTCTTATGATTGGAGTCCATTAAGCTTACTGTCTCATTTCAAGCTCCATATTTTGTTTCCTGGGCTGGAGAGGCACTGCATGAGTTGCGGTTCATTAGCTGCATAAGGTGGAATGTAACAATTAATTTACTCAACATTACCCTCTACAGGTGTAGCTGCCTTATTAGTTAGGATCAGCCTGGGTTAGAGTTAGGACAATAAAGGGAAGGAGGAGCTAACACGAGACCCGGCGTGCTACTGATTGAGAACATTTCAGTCACTAGCTTTCTCTGCCAACTTACTCCTATACAGCTTGAAAACTGTGTTTCAACCAACTTAAGCACTCTGGAGGACCACAAAGAAGACCGGGACAGTAGAAGCAGTTTACCTGCAAGTGTTTCAGGTCCATTGTTATGGGGAAACAAGACACTGACTCCATCCAGCAGCAAAGGAAACATGTTTGGAACGGGCTTCTCCTCAGACTAGCAACATGATGGAGATTTTGGTGTCCATAGATAAAAAAAACCCATCGAGCTTTGACATATACCTGCCCCCACTGGAAATCTTGCATAAAGACTTTCAGGTGCTGCGTAAGTCCGTGGAGTTCAGCCAGCTGCAGGTGAAAACACTCACTGCTGTGGCCGGGGAGAGTCGGGGTAATCCCTCAGCGACGGTATGACCCAGATCTCAGACGAAAATTAAAAAAATCAAGGAAACTGTCGTCGAGCTCCAGGCCTGCAGCATGCTAGGCCTGGAGGCATCCTAGAGAAGGCAGCAAAGGACCTGCAAACTACAGTGAGACATTACATCTAGATCCACCTCAAACTCCACATGGTAAAACATCAGCTTCCATTATGTCCATCATCTGGGACGTAAGCAAGCTGATGGACGCAGACCCAGACCAACTGTGTCCAAATTGGAAAACTTTAAACAGAAAGAGCTGGTGTAGAGCCATGGCTGGGAGCTGACAGCAACAAACTTCGGTTTCTCAAAGAGATCCTGGAGCAATGCAAAGTCCTGTTCCTGATCTGCAAGAAATTCATCCACGGAGGCTCCCGAGCTGTCACCGTGGTCTATAAACTGTGCATCAGTGGCAGCTTTATCGTGACTAGACCATCTGTAGCTATACTAAGGCCTCTTTCTCATTCTTTTCCATATCCTTTCCCCTGTTTAATAGACATGTCTACACAGAACAATTCATGCTGGTTTAATGACCACAGCCTGTTTTCTCGTGTTGTTTTTTCTTAAATTCCCCTCTATTTGTTTGTTGTTGTTGATATAACGTCACTTGCGAATGGTTCATTGGTGGCTGCACATCTCAGTTTTCACACCATTACTCTCTGCACTCATTGTATTTGCTCTGCCTCCAATGCTGTGATTTACTTCACAATCACACAGCACAGGTACATACACAAGCAGACAGACACACACACAGCGATTTAGCGAACATTCAACACCCCACCAGTTACTTTAAACATGAACGCTCTGAGGTTTGTCACATAGAATGTTAATTCGTTTGCTTCACTTGGGTTTTGACAGCCTCGGTGAGATGGGCGCGCAAGGAGTCGTAGATCAAAAGAGACGGAGATTTGTGGAAAAAGCCACCCGGTCTCTTGACATAAACTCAGCCACTCGCTCATCTTCTCCTCGTCCATCCAGCCCTTTGAGTTAGCCTTCACGATGATGCCGCCCGGAAACTTTTCTTTTGGCAAAGTCTTCCTCTTGAAAATGACCATGGGTGGTAGTTTCTGGCCATTAGCTTGGTAGCCCAGAACTACAGTGGAGGATGACTTCTCGTTCCCTGTGGTGCGTATAGATACTGTACTGGTCCCTGTTTTCTCAACAGTACGGTTCACGGGGATGTCAAAGGTGAGGAGGACCTCGTCCATGCTAGTGATGTGTTCTGGCCGGATCTTCTTTTCAGTGATCTCATTCTGGCAGTACGTGCTGAAAATGGCCAACTTTTCTTTGGCAGTTGCTGTGAGACAGTAGTTCTTGTGCGGATTGAGAGATTATGCCTTTTCATAAAACGGAAGCACCAAGAAGGTCCCCCTCGAAAGTTGTTGATCTGCACGTCACGTGCCGCTGTTGCCTTGAGTCGAATAGAGACTGTAGAGACACTTCTACCTGCTGTTCTCTGTTCAATAACCCACTGTTCAATTTTGTCCTCTAACTGCGGCCATCGCGCCGTGTTCCCTCGGAAACTCCTTTTGGTCTTCTTTACTTGTTTTAGGTCATCTTCTTGCTTCCTCCACTTGCGCACCATCGACTCATTAATGCCGAATTATCTCGCAGCTGCTCTATTTCCATTCTCTTTTGCTTAACTAATTGCTCGAAGTTTAAAATCCGCTTCGTAAGCGTGTCTCTTCGCGGGTGCCATTTTGGAGTCGTTATACACACACAACACGGTAATGTTGTGTTGAAGCACAGTACGTATTACTCCGCGAGGCTCCTGGCAACAGTAACCGTAATGCTCCAAAAAGTGGCACTAAAAATCTTTTTTTGACAGATTTTTGAGCACAGTGTGCCACATAAAACCGGTTCGAGGTCAGTAAGCACAAATCAAAATTCATACATAAGGCGCACCAGATTATAAGGCGCACTGTCGATTTTTTGTGAAGATTTAAGGATTTTACGTGCACCTTATAGTGCGGTAAATACGGTAAAACAAAGACATGTAGCCATATTAATTAGCAGAGAAATAAACTTGACCATTAGCAACAGTATTACAGATCCAGAAGGTGGATTTATAATACTTAATTTATGTTTTCAAAATATGGATCACTAAATGTTGATAGGCCCTCCTTTTTATTACATCTTCACTTCACTTTCAGATCACTCTGACACCACTCCTATAATAGGAGGAGACGTCAACCTGGTATTTAATCCACAAATTGATATGCTCAGTACAGCTGTGAGTCAAAGGAACTGGAAGTCTACCGACATTCTCAAACAACACATGAGTGATTTTGGTCTTTGCGATGTTTGGTGTTCATATCAGTGGACATCAGAGTGGGAAAGATAATAATGACCTTCCAGGAATATAACGGTGTTTTTTTGAAAATCAGGAAAGACAAAATAAGATCTCGTCACAAGAAAATAATACACAAATAAAATAGAACCGAAAATGTAATCATTAGAAGCTCCCTATTAACATGCAATTAACAACCTGAGAAAACTAAAACTATAGTTAAATGAAATAATTAATAATAATAAAACACAATTTCTGACACAAATGCTGCGTTTGAAGAACTTTAAACATGGCAATAAATCCGGAAAATTCCTTACTAACCAGTTAAAGATAAATTAAGAAAAAACATCTATAAGGATTCAACGGAGAACAGTACTCCACAACAAATAATTAGGAAACGTATATTCACCCCAGATTAATCCATGCTGACATTGAAGAATTTCTTAACAATATAAATCCACTGAAACTAAACGGCTAACAAATGACAGCTCTGGATTCACCTCTCCAGTGTCTGAATTTCACAAAACCCTACAGCATCTCCCAAACAATAAAGCCCCAGGTCGAGACGCTTTTCCAGCAAAGTTTCATCAACATTGGCACCCACTTTTTTCAGAATGGTAAACCAAATTCAGAATGAACTCTGCCATTGTCAGTGTACTTCTTAAACCAGCCAACATAAGGACCCTACATAAGGAAACCATTTGACCAGGTAAACTGGAAATTCATACACCTCTCCAAGCACATCAGCTAGGACAAACAACCTTACTCCCCAGCTTCAATCTACAGAGGGGCACCAGACTGGGCTGTCTGCTTCCCCCGTTGCTTTTGTCATTGTCATCAAACCACCAGCAGTAGCAATCAGACACAATGTAGATATTAGAGAAATTCAAACTGGAAATACAGACCATACAGTAAGCTTATTTGCTGATGTTTACTTTTGCGTGGTAACTCACAAACCTCTTTTCTGAGGACAGACACTCTTAATATTATACTACTCCATCAGCTGAAGCAAATCAGCAGTTCTGCCTTTGAATTGTAATTTTCAGAACTGCTCCACCACTCCAGTACGGTCAGGTGACATTAATTAAATCTGGGACTCTCCACCATCTACCCTAGAACTGAAGATGAGAGGTGAAATGTCTTCAAGCAACTTGAAGAAGTACAGATGCTTTTCTTTCCAAGCTCCTTACAATCACCTGGATCAACTCCGTTCAGGTCACCTCCTCCGGTCCTAGCTGTCTACTAAAATAGAAAGCGCACGATTAAACAATCAGTCCCAACTGCTCTGCCAGCCCTCATGGAACTGCCTCCGAGCCCGCTGCACAGCATCTCCTTTCCAGCAGAGCCGCAGGCCAGAACTCGCCACGTAGCCATGACCACCTGTGCCTCCAGCCTATAGAGCACCTTTCACTTAAATGGCTGGAGAGCCAGATACCACTGGGTGATCCAGACATTGAGATCCTTCATGCGGTGAAGCTATTGCAACAGTTTTTGGTCTGAATGAACATCCCAAGAGATAATAACGAAGGCAGTCGACCACCCACCAAATTGCCAGACATTCCTTCTCCACTGTGCTGTATATGGCCTCTGTCTCAGGGCAGTCGACCCCCCTTACCTGCTGGGGCAAAACAGCCCCGAGCCCAGTTTGAGGCATCCATCTGCAGAATGAAAGAAAGGGAAAAGTCAGGGGTGTGGAGCAGAGGTTCCCCACAAAAAGCCTCTTTGACCAGGTCAAATGCTGCCTGGCACTGACCCATCCTCTGGTGCACGTTCTCAAGTGAGATCAGCCAAAGTGTTGGTCAGCTTCATGAAGCCAGACACAAACAGCCAGCCCAAAAAAACCACTTCACGTCTTTTTTGGTCATGAGACGCAGGCAGGATGTTATAGCTGTATTTTCTCCATCTGTGGACACACTTATCCAACTCCCAGGTGGTACTGCAGATACTGTACCTCTGTCTGTCCAACCACACACTTCTTCCGGTTGGCCGTCAGCCCTGCCTCAGGCACTCCAGGACCACCGGCACATGCTCCACATAGATGTTGTTATGGATCATAATCTAATCCAGGTAGGGAGCAGCATATGAAGTGTTTGGATGCAGCACTTGGTCCATGAGAAAGGTGACTGGGGCTCAGAACAACAGAAGTGTGATGAATTCGTGCAAACCATACAGAGTGGAGAAGGCCCGTTTTACTTAGACTCTGGAGACAAGGATCTATCCCCTGGATATATGCAGTACCTAACCAGTCTAGGAGCTCATCGACCCAGGGCATAAGCATCAAACTGTGATACCTCATTTACCTTGTGATAATCCACACAGGAACTACAAGAACTATGGGGTTACACCAGGAACTGTGGGATTCTTCTGTTACCCCTATCTCCAGCATAGCAGCCAATACAGTGGGAGCTATTTGCCTTTTATGTTCGGGGAATCTATAGGGAAGTGCATGCACAGTCACTCAGGGTGCTTTTCAAAACAGCGCTCTGTGAGAGTGGTATGACGGGGCAGCAGGGAGAACACATCTGGAAAAAGCTTTTGTAATGCAGCAACTCATACAATACAAAGCTCTCCATAGAACAAACTATACAGGACAAAGGATGTTCCACAAAGGTCTTGCAGACTCTAGCATATGCAAACACTGCAGAGGTAACTCTACTGAGAACTATATACACACTACCATATATGGTCTTGTACACCTGTTCAGAGGTTGTGGCAGAGACCAGGGCCGTGCAGAGGTTTAAAGGGGCGGGTGCTCAAGCCCCTCTAGCCCCCCCCTCTGCACGTGCCTGGCAGAGACCTATCCACATGGTTTAGTTGACATATCCCAACCTCAGCCAAGCTGTGCATCTTAGCTGATGTAAGTGAATTAGATATGGAAACAAATACATCACATAGTCCTCACTGTGTGAAGGGGGCCCGGGAGCCAGTATGTGAACGTGGACCAAAGCGCAGATCAAACATGGAGACAGCAGATAGATTCTCACAGGCTTTATTACAAACACGAAAATAAACTTGAAACATGAGGAAGGGAAATGTAGTGTGTTCGGATGTGGAGTAACTGCAAATAAAGGAGAACATAGTTAGAAGGTGAACCAGAGGTAGATGAAGATTGGTTTGAGTTGCTTGCTTGGCAGGTGGAGCACGTGGGGCTCTGAGGGGGAAGGAGATGCTCCGGGTAGCATTGAGGGAGGCGAGTAACTGAGTTTGTTTCTGACCTTAATTCCTTGTGTTCCAGAGAGTTCCAGGCTTCTTCTCTTTGTGTGCATGGTCCAGGGCCCTGGTGCTGGAGTTGCCCATTTTCTGGTTGGGACCGTGCTTGTGTGGGGGTGCACTGCATCCCCTTGGCTGCTTCACCTGGTGGGGTGGGTAGGCCCACACTGAAATGTCCGGTCTGTGCCTTGGGGGCTTTTGAGTACCTGCAGGCTTATATGCTGAGAACTACATGCTTTTTCCTTCCCCGCTTCTTCTGACAGCACAACACTAACACACGTAATATCACGAGGGAGAATATATGCCTCACAGGCCTCAATCGGTAGGACTTTGCTCACTGTGCTGCACAGCCATTAATTACACTGTAGTCATTACAGTTCAGGACACATCACCATACACATAGGACGTCTGGGGACACATGTGATACCCAGAGGTTGGTGGGTGGGCTGCTGAGGCGGCAATGAGCACTGTTGACCATCTGCTCATGTCTCCTCAAATCTAATAGCAGTCTAATTTCCACACTCACCCAACAGGCCACCACTGCACTGACATAAAAAGAAACATACTGCTCATACATACGCTCACAATCTTCTCCCACATATGACAAAATTGTATGTTTGAGAATCTTGCCTTGTTGTGTCTTTCAGGTGCTTTGTGTTTTGTTACAGATGCAGCAGTTGGAGACCCTGTTTGCATCAACCTAGACTCCCCACCTTCACCAAACTGGCCTCCAACCTGTCTGCTTCAGCACAACACCCACTCTGATAATAATGTAAAAAATATATATATAAACAAAAAAAAGATTAACAATAGGAGCCTACAGAGAGGCCATAGTTCTCCTCTTGGTAAAACAAATGTGTTTGGCACAACAAAGCATTCAGGCCATGATTCTGTTTGCTAAAAGTACCACATGACAGGTAAAGAGATAAATAAAGAAATGAGCAAGCACAATGGGTCCAATATAAGGTTGTGTGTGTGTGCGTGTGTGTGCGTGTGTGTGCTTTACCAATTCGTTGCGTTCTTCTGACAGTAGAGCATTTCTATCCTCTAACTTCCTGACGACGGCACTGAGCTCAGCTATCTTCAGCTGAAACCTCCGAGTGTCACGATCCTCCTGAGACTGAGCACAAGAACGACAGCCCAGGTCAAAGGTCAGCCACCAACCAAATGCCTAACTGCAAACTGCATTCAAGCATCATCAGCATGGTAGCATGCAAACACATGAAAAATCTAAAGTTTCTTTTGTATTTTCATACAATAGGAATTTCTTCAACACTGAATTACTAAAAATATAATTTGAAACAAACTGAAAATCAAACAGAACAAACTGAAATCTTAAGAGAATTCAGTAACAGTACAAATGGTGTTAAAAGGTGAACCTCTAAGGAACTTTGGCACAAAGTCAACATATCTTTACTGAGGACTTTACTTATAGACATCCCATTTTAGTGTTCTATCACTCTCTGATAACTAGTCAGTAAAAATTTAAAAGGTCCATGAGAAAGTTGAGTGCATCTTTCTGCTAGAGTGCAAAAGCCTAAGTTTTCTGTCTCTCTCTGTCTACCTTAGCCCTTTGAGCCTGGTCTGTAGAAGAAGACTGCACATGGAGTTTGTGTAGACACCACATTTCTTGAGGTGAAACAGCAAAAAGTTTGGCTGAAGTCAACCTGTTATTGGCCTTAATTTCCGGTCCCCTCCCTCGTGCTTTACTCTCGCGTTGCTCCGTGTGGCAAATCGAGCGCACCTCTCTGCATTTCGAACACGTGTCACAAC